CCAGCAGGACTGGGCTTAAGCAGCTAGCTGCTCCATCAGCCACTCTGTGGAGCACTTGCTGCCACCCACCCTGGCTTCATTCGCTGGACCTCTCCAGATTTATGCACAGGGCAAGTAGCTGCTGTCCTGCCACAGCAAATGCCACAAGAGGCATGCAGTGGGCGTGGCAGGCCTTTGAACAAGGCACTGATCCAACTGGCCAGCACTCCAGAAAGCTGCACTGGTCAATCTCCTGCTACGGCAAATGCCACTCAAGACCTCACTTTGAAGACTCACTGGAGTGGGGCATCAGGTAGGCAGGTTCTCTGGAAAGCCTGAAGCAGGACATCAGCAGGTACAACAGACCAGAGTATCCAAATGCTTTTCTCTGATGGTCCTTCTGTGTTAACTGACCTTGGAAATGAAATGTGCCACACTAGCCATCTTGCCCTGAGAAAGGACCCCTCAAAGGAAAGCATTAATTGGGAGGAAGGAGGGGGAGGCAACAACACTGAAAGGCATGAAGGTGGCAGAAGAGAAGCAGGGGAGCAGGATGCCTAGAAGCATCTCATACTTGGAGAATCTGCATTGCGGTATCCAGCTTGCCAATGTGGGAATAGAGTGCTGGCCTAACTGGACCTTTGGTATAATCTTAGGTTCCAATCGTGAAGACACCTGACAACTGTCTTCAGGCCAAATCAAACAGAATCTTCCATGATTCCTCTTAAGATGTTATGCCACTAGAGCTAATTTGAGTGCTGACTCTTATATATTTTGTAGATGGATTCTGATTAGTCCACAGCATTTGTTACTCAAGTGAACACAAGAGTGATACACAAGCAACTTTTGAACTAGGCACTCAAAGAATAAAATATGTGGAAAACTCCATGTTATGTCCCCACTGCTGAATTGGGACTAACAGATGGGTAGTGCTCAAATATATTCTTGGTGGAATTACCTACAAGCAATTTAAAGATAACAATCCTTATTTCGTGTGACAGACACCCTCTAAAACTAAACTGATTAAACAAAGTTAAGCGTTATTTTTCTTATTAAGTAAGCCTTATTTATGGTGTGTACATGATGTTTTACAAAGCATCTTTGAAGAACAGGCCATCTGCCGAATACTTGGCATCAGGTGGTGGAAAAGCAAAGAAATAAAGGACCTTCCCAGCCTCAGAAGTAATTTAACAGACTTGCTCTAGGGAAAAACTCACCACACTATTCATTAACATTTTAACACTAAACTGAAAACAACAGTGTCTTTAGTCATCACAAACTTCCCTGAAGCAGAGTGCTGTGGGGTGGCTAACCATCTTGATTAGCAAGTGAAGCACAGTATCTCTCTTAGAAAACTGGAATCTGCTGAATGAAGCCACTGAAGAATCACAGTGGAGCTACTGAAGCACATTTTAAAAATGCATAATATGTTAGGTTTTAAATAATGCTTCCTTCTGAAGTGGAACTGTATGCCTCAGTGTTACTGAAGCATAGATCTTGATTCCCTGTGGTCTGGGAGCATATCTGTTGAGAAGGGGTCACAAATGTCAGTCATGAGGATGGGGCACCTTCCCCATCACAGCATCAGTGGCCCTGAAAACAGAAGTACACACATGCGAGCATGCAAACAAAGACCTCTCTTCCAAACAGAGCCCAACTAAACCATGATGTAGGCAGGTTGCGTACCTTTAATGGTCATTCTTCAAGAGGTCATCTGTGCAGAGGCAAAGCCTATTTGCATGATGCACAAAGACCATAAAGAAGAAAGAGCAGGCAAAGAATAAGGGCACCACTGGCAACTTAAAGTCATGTTTCAAAAGAATTGATTCTTGGGCACCAAATGTGAATGAAAAAATGCAATAGGAAATTTATTTTAAATAAAAGTGGTGAAGAAGATAAAAAGATCTGTAAAAGTTACAAAGAAATCCAAATGATTGATTCAAATCAACTAACTGTATCCAAAGGAAGTTTCTGCTAATCCTCAGGCGAAGAATCAACATATAACTCTCATGTATTTCACAGAAGGGCTATAGGAAGCTGCCTTAAATCAACCATTAGTTCATCTAGTTCAGTAGTTTCATAAGACATGAGTGCACAACCTTGCCCTGCAAAAATACTGGATTATAGCTTCTATAATGCTTGACCATTAGCTGTTTTGGCTGTGACTGGTGGTAGTTGTAGGCCAAATCATTGCGAGTGCACCAGGTTGCCTATTCCTGCACTGCACTAAGGTGAAAGGGTAGTAGATTTAACCTGTTTAACTTTTTGCGATTACAGTGATACCTTGGCTCACAAACTTAAACTGTTCCAGGACTCTGGTCATGACCCAAATTTGTCGTGAGCCAAGTTAAATTTCCCCATAAGGTTCAATGTAAATAAGGTCAATCCGTTCTGTGACCATTTTTTTTTAAATCGGAAAAATGTGAAGCAAAGTGACAAAGAACAACAAAGATCACGGCCATCTCCCCCTCCCCGCCCCGAGCACAAGCGCATCCAACTCCTCACCCCACCCCCAGCACGACCGAGATCACACCTGTCATCCCTGCACGTGCCCGTCATCCTGGCGCGTTGGGGGAGGGGGGGGGAAAGATGGGTGCGATCTTGGCCATCTCCCCACCCCCAGCACGATCACGGCTATCTCCCCACTGGGGGATGGGGAGATGGTTGTGATCGTACTGGTTGTGGGGGGGGGGATGTCCGAGATTGCACCTGTATTTCCTGCAGAAACACACCCGTGATCATGCACATCTTCCCTGCACGAACCAACTGTGATCGTGGCCATCTCCCCAGTCGGGGGAATGGGGAGATGGCTGTGAACTTGGTTGCCACCCAATGCAGAGTTCGCGACCCACATCAAAATTTTCATGAAATTTTTGTTTGCAACCCGATTTGGTCATGATCCAAGGTGTTCGTGAGCCGAGGTACCACTGTACATTTACCATCCAAAGGAACAAGAGATTCTGTTTTACATAATCATAACAACATAATTTGATTGAGAACAGATTGTGTGATTGCACAGAGACCACAAAGAAGAACATCCCTTACTTCTGTCTCTTTTTAAAAAGTGGTGCATATATACATGCAGCAACAAACTTGAGCAATATTTTCTTTTAAAGAATCATGCCTAGAAGGTGTCCTCCACACCCCAAGAAAAAAAAAGACTCCTAGAACCACATTCAACTTCATGTATCTGGACTTACAACTTGAAGCAAACTTCTCAGTATATTCCAGCCAAGTGACACATTTCCATGTACAAATTTCAAAAGCATAAGCAGCTATGTCTTTTTCAGCACAGATCAGTTAACTGAGAGCACATACAAGTAATTCACTTGAGCAAAATAAAATAAAATAAAATAAAATAAAATAAAATAAAATAATCTGCATAGACAACAGCACAGGTATTGGGGGAAAAACCATGTCATTTGGTTCTTTCAATATCAAAGTCAAGAAAGAAGTGCAAGTCAATAAACAGCCCTCTGATACATGATATATAAAGAGAATGTGCAGTATGCCTAAGGAAAATTTGGCACAGTTTCAAAATCTAGATATTCAAGCTTGGGTACCAGAATCATGAGGGAAGGAAAAATTGAAGTGTAATTTGGAGAAACAGATGTGGACCATACTCCTGAGTTTTAACCTAGCTGTTGCCCTATTGAGAAGTACATGCCAAATGGGGGGAAACTTGATCAGGAATATTTGTAAAACAGTTCAGTAAAAAAAAAAATATCTTGCAAACTTTACTGAATGCCAATGCCAAATAGATATTTGTTAAAATGAAGAGCAGCATTAATCACAGAAAAACAACACATGCTGTAAAGTATAAGGTAGATAATTACCTTACAATTTAAAAACATTAAGAGAAAGCCAACATGAAACTCAGATTTAAATATCTGCATCTGCACACAGTCCAGGGACAGACTCTGCATATCCAAGGAGGCTTTGGGCTTGTACTTCTCAGATACCAGCCTTAACTTTTCAAAGTGATTTTCAAAAGAATAATATAATATGTAGGACTGGGATGCTACGTTAATGAAGTGATTAGATTAATAAGGTTAAATATGCTGATTGATTAAAACAGTGCCCCTGTTTAACCAGGAAGCATTTAAAAAAATCTCAGTATTTTGAAATCTAGGGGCAGCAGCTGCTTTCTTGAAAGAGGCATGTGTTGTTTATCCACACATGGAAAATTATCCCAATACACTCAACATCTTTAGGAAAATGAATATGTGCATGTATAAAATCTGCAACATTGCTGCACCAGGAGAGAAATACAAATTTCAACAAAATGCAACACAATTACAATTGTTTAAAATGTAGGCAAAAAGAAATGGTCCACAGCCAAAGAAAGTGATAGCATATGGGAAAGTGTTTAAAAGAGGTTTCACAAACAAGTGTCAATACCACACCATGATGAAATTACAGTATGTAAAATAATTTTAAATTGTGCATAAAGATATTTCATCTTGTTTTCCCCATAAAATCTTCATGCTATCTTAGCATAGCACTATTTGTTCCCAAATTTGTAAACCACTTTGCTGTAACTCTATTTATGCTCACTAAAAGCAAAATCTATCTGATATATTGTTTCAGTGCTTCAAAACGTAGAAACTACATCAGGACTCAAGTTATGCCACCTTCTATGCAGGTCAGATAGCTGTGAGGAGAAATTACTGAAAGGATACATAAAGTTAAAAATTAGTTTCTGGGGAACAGAACTTGTTCATTTTGATCAGCTCCACAAATGAATAAAGTGTCAGGTAACTGCTAGTCACTAAAAGCTGAAAATTTGGTTCACAGAACAACTTCCTGGCAGGGATCTCAGGGCAAAAGATCATTCCCCCTTTTCCGTCTATTAGTTTTAAGACCAAACTTTATTATTTGTAAAACATACGTAATAAAAATGAAAACATTTTAAAATGAAATGCTTATGAAATGCAAATGTTACCACAATAGTGATGTGTTTTCTGCTTTTATGAGATTGTAAAGTGTTTAAAAGGCACATTATCTTAATTTGGACTCACTTTTGTGCTCCCTGAGACAACAGCTTTGTCCACGTTGACTGGCAGCTGCTCTTCAGTCTGGCAAACTCCCAGTGACCATTCCGCACAGCGGTGATGAGCCCAGCAGTAACCTAACACATAATGATGAAAAAATGAAAGGATCAGTTTTACAGCTTTTGCTAAAGAAACTTCGAGAGTGCATTTTCCTATTTAAAAAGGAGATGTTGTGCACAGATTGAAAGATTTAAGATAGATTCAATTCTGCTGCAAGAAATCAGTTTCTTCCTACATTCTGCAATTTTATTCTATTATGTTATATAAATACTAATTTCTCTATCTTTTTATACACTCTTTATGTCTAATACATCTTTTTAAACAGGTTTGGAAATTGTATGCATGAATAGTAGTTTAATATAAGGCTTCAATAAATAAATTTTCATTTCAGCAGCCAATATAGTCTGCTAAAGAGAAAACTGAAAAATTTTATGTTAAATGACAGTTGAAGTAAAACTGTAGAACACCATACCATACTATATTATACTATTGCAAAATAATCAAGTTTATGAATCTAGAAAAATGAGGCATGTTAGTCCCATTATCTCAGTCCATATCCCTGACCTTTACTAATTCTGTCAGGTTTAAAAATAAACCCTTTGAAATGGCACGGATATACAAAGAGTTTGAAAAAGAATGTACGTTTGGGAAATAAAGAGACCTGTATTGCTGCTATGCAACCTAGCTACATTAATACTGAATGATTTAACTTGCTTATTTAGTGGTTTTACACTCAATCTCCTAATTAATAACTGGGTAAACAGCGTGTGTCAGAAATCATAATTAGCTAAGCATGTTACACATCCAATGTTACAAGTTTTGACAATACTTCTCTGCTAATTTGCAAATGTAAGCATTCTAACAATGCAACTAGGATCTTGGTGACTCTGGTCACACCACTTTTCTTAAAAATGTGGCTTCTTCCTTTTCCTGTTTCATTTAGATTTAACATCAAACTGGCTAAACTCTTTCTACCCCCATCCTCTGGCTCAGGGATATCTACTGCTGGACCCAAATTTAACAAGATAAGCAAATGCTTAGATTTCCAGTGGGTCATAACAGCATGTGTTGTGTCCTTGTAGTTACTGTAACTTGAAGTAGGAACCCTTATTTATACCAAACCCACAACCCTTGGAACTTAACCATGTATCATACACTCAGAGTTGGAGGAATTTTGCAGGCAATCAAGTCAAACACCTTGTTGAATGCAAGAAATTCAGAAATAAAGCTTCACTAACTTTTGACTTTCTCTGCTTGAAGACCCCTAGAAAGTGAGCATCTACCCTCTAATTGTTTCTGGGGACAAACTGCTCTTACCATCAAGAATCTTCTCCTAATGTTCAACTGAAATCTTCTCTCCTGTAACCTAAGACCTCTGGGACAGCAGAAAATGACTCTTTGCCCTCTTCTCTTACTATTCTGGTAATTAAATAGTACTAACATGTCTCCCTTCAGTCTTTCCTTCTTCATTCACGCAGTCTTTCCTCAGAGGACTAGCGTTCCATAATACTGATCATCTTCACTGCCCTCTCCTGAACCTATTCTAATTTGTCTATATCCTTACAAGAGGAAAGGATTATCATATTCAGTAAACTTAAGGGTCTTACAGGATCCAGGGGGATGCGAGCTCATTAAAAATGTGATACTATAATATGTAGAACTGGCACAATAGCAAGCTTGGGAAAGATTCCATTTTTGATAGTTTAGAGCAGCCAGATGCATTAGACTACAACTTCCATCATCTTCACAAAGCATTACCAAGTTTGTGAAGATGATAATTGTATTCCAAAATATGTCAAGGCATCAGGTTGGGGAAAGACTAAGTTAGATAGTATTGCTAGTTGGTATAAGCAATCAGGGCTAAGCGGACCTGTGGCCAATATAAGACTATCATGCATATGTATGTGACACAATATATTATGCTATTAAAGCTTTAGAGAAAATGCAAGAAATAAAAACAATTGCATTTAAGCCAATACATATCTTGAAATTCTATGTAAATACCTGAACAGCTTATTACAAAATGTGGATGGATCTTTTGATATACTTCCTCTGAAATAACTCTATTAGTATTTGTTCTAAAAAGGTAAAGGTTTCCCCTTGACGTTACATCCAGTCATGCCTGACTCTAGGGGGCGGTGCTCATCTCCGTTTCCTAGTCGAGGGAGCCAGCGTTTGTCCACAGACAGTTTCCGTGGTCATGTGGCCGGCATGACTAAACACCGAAGTGCACGGAACGCTGTTACCTGCCCACCAAAGTGGTACCTTTTTATCTACTTGCATCTGCATGCTTTCGAACTGCAAGGTGGGCAGGAGCTGGGACGGAGCAATGGGAACTCACCCCGTTATGCAGATTCAAACCGGCGACCTTTCGATCAACCAGCCCAGCAGCACAGCGGTTTAAACCACTGCGCCACCTGCAGTACCCTAGTATTTGTTCTAGTAGTTCACTATTCATGCTGTGCAAGAAAAAGTAACATCATCTTAGAGTAACCTATAAAAGTTAATATTTATATGGTGATAGTGATGACACAATATTTTTATTATTATTTTTCCTTGGGCAGGAGAAGAGTCCCAAAGACAACAGATGCATTAAATTATAATAGCCAGTACCATATGCAATGTTCTGAACAGAATTACACATTCCCCATTAAGAGTATTTGAAGACACTACCTGTTGGCTCAAATAAGGCTTGGACATCAATGTCATCTGGTAAGCCAACCATTCTGAGTTCATCCCAGAATTTGACTACCTGATCATCAGGAATAGTTTGAGTGCTTATAGTTGTACAGGATGTTATACATTGATGAGACTTCTCTCTGCATGAAATACAAGATTTGGTTAAGTAATGATTAACGTAATATGGATTTATGTACAAATATAAACATATTTCAAAACAAACATGTATTTACTGATTTTCAAGCATATGTCACAAGTGTATCACCCTAACCAGTATTGACATGCTTATTCATTCTGCATTATTGGCTCATTACTCCTTGTTCGTCCTGAGTAATTAAGGACAGTACTGGATTATTTTGGAACAACTCTTAATTTATAAAATGTATTTATTTTGTATTAGATCAACTTCAAAAATGTGTTTTGGGGAATGCAGGGCTGGAGAAGGGGTACTGTGTGTGAGACTTTGTATTGGCTTAGGAAATTATCCAAGTTCTTTGGATTTCAGAGGGGTACATTTTCCACCTTAATCCACAAAGAACTTGCCCATATCTAATGCAAAATCTGAAATTAATTATATAAAGAAAGGTACCCCTTTATATGTGGTGATGTTTTTAACAGGCTTAGCATTTTCCTACTCAAAGAATATAAAGAAGTCTGGCACACATAGCTTAACCTAGAAAAACTGGAACAACATTTAGAAGCAAGTTACCACCACCTGGCTCCTGACCAATGCTGGATGGAATAGCATGAGATATGTAGAAGTTCTAAGACAGTCTTTGTGGGACACTTGCGGGAGCAAAGAATGACATTACTGAGTTGGAGTTGTATATATGATGGATTATGAATTACATTTGCCTTTATACTACAGTTCATACTAGAGCTGCCTTGTTCCTTGCAAGAAAATGAAGAGTATGAATATAATAAAAATAAGTACAGTAAATATTATCAACTGAGAACAGGTAAGCATCCGCCATGAACTTCTTGTGTATTTATGTTCCACTTTCCAATGGGAATCAGTAAATACAAAGAGGACGTTGGATGATATGAAGGTATGCCTCTTTAAATTATAACTTGAGAAGATTTGGTAGTTAACTCATGATCAGAAATCAAGTGTTCCAGGTTGCTTTCTAGGTTGATTTGACTATTGCCCTGATAATAACTTAAAAAACATGCAGCTTGATTCATATTTTAAAGACTGATATCCAAGCATGGTCCCTGAAGGTATGTTCATCACTACTTTCAGGCAGATTTTAATAACCTTCCATTATTATTTTATTTTAAACATTTTTAGCCTATTTTCAGGACAAAGTCCTCACAAAGCAGCTTACAATTTTATTAAATTAAAATAGTAACTATATAATTACTGAAACACCTGAAAGCTAAGCTAATCTAGAAAGTTTGTGATTAAATTTCCTGCTTCTCCAGAGTTCTTTACATTAATTAGCACCCAATGCAGCCAAGTCAAACATATGGTACTCTGTAAAAAAGGTGTTTACCCCTTTTCTCCCAAGTTTTTTCCCCCAACTTCACACCTTGTATTAGTTGTGGGGGGGGGGGGGTTACAGGTACAGCAGCTTCAGGGGGAAGAAACATGATTTGATTGCTTCTCCAAGATTACTACTTCTTACTAATCTTGATTCAACCTTCTCCAGGATTACTACTTACCTGATCCTTAAAACATAAGAACATAAAAAAATCATGCTGGAACAGAACAAAGGTTCATCTAGTCCAGCACGCCATACACATGGTCGCAAACCAGCCATCCAAAGGATTCTTTAAGCGGGATGGGTGCAAGACCTCCATCTGCCCAAGCTCCTCAGCAACTGGCGTATGCAGGCATGTCACCTCTGGTAAAGGAGGCTGCACACTGGCACCAAAGCTAGCAGTCACTGAGAGCATCCTTCCTTATGAATCTGCCCAATACCTTTTTAAAGCCATCCAGAGTGGCGGCCACCACCAGTTTCCATGGCAGTGAATTCCATAGTTTACCTATATGCTGTGTAAAGATTTCCTTTTATCTGTCCTAAACCTCCCACCAATGAGTTTCATGGGATGACCCCAGGTTCAAGTGTTATAGGAGAGGGAGAAAAAGGTCTCCTCTAGTTTCTCCACATCATGCATTATTTTAGATACCTCTATCATGTCTCGCCTCATTCTCCTTTTTAATGAGCTGAACAGACCATTATCATAGCTGCTCCTCAAAAGGAGCTGCTTGATCCCTGTGCTCATTTTTCCTGCCCTTCTCAGTACCTTTTCCAATTTTGGATTTTATCAAGTTTCATTATTTATTATGCTGGAGAGGGTGATGGGTTTACTTTTCTGTGGCTCCTTGCACCTTACCCTCTTGACTAGCAAATGGAGCACAGTCCCATGCCCTGGCCTCCTTAGTCTGCTGCCAAACTCATCCTGTTGCTCAACACTTCATCAATGGGACTCCTTGCACTCAGAGAGCTAGCTCCTCACAAGCCTAGCTTTTTGTACATCTCTACATGTACTGACCCAACTGTTGCAGCAACCAATATGATTGGAGGGCCTTACCTGAAAAGCAAAAGGAGGAGTGGTTTGGACCTAGCTTCCTGTGATTGGGAATGAATGAGTACTAACAAACGCAAATTGTTAGTCAATTGTCCTCTCTGGGACTGGAGACTTCCTATTTACTGGAGATCACAACAGTGAATGGGTAGCAATCAACAGACAAAAGTAGGTGATTAGTGAAGGGCTGTTGCAGGGCCTTAATAACTAGAAAAAAGTAAAGTATTTGAAATCACAGAATCATAGAACAGAAGAATTGGAGGGGACCAGAAGGCCATTGTGTCCAACCCCCTGCTTAGTGCAGGACTCCCAACTTAAACCATTCCTTTCAGATGGCTGTCCAGTTGCATCTTGCCTCTTGTGTGGGACAGCCCACAAATTCTGTAGGTCATTGTTGTACTGCTCTAATGGTCAGGAATTTTTTTTTCTGATATCTAGCTGCAATCTGGCTTCCTGAAACTTGAGCCCATTATTCCATGTCCTGCACTCTGAGATGATCCAGAAGAGATTCTGGCCTTCCTCTTTGTGACAGCCTTTATACTTGTCTTCTCTTCTTGAGGCTAAACATGCCCAGTTCTTTCAATTGCTCCTGACAGGGCTTTCTTTCTGGTCCCTGGATCATCATTGTTGCCCTCCTCTGAACCCTTTCCAGCTTGTCTGCATCTTTCTTAAACTGTGCTGCTGAAAATCTCTTGCATCACATCTAGTAAACGCCTGACAATGGAAAATAAGAGGACTCCTTTATTACAATTCCATGTAAAAACTCTACTCCTGCAAAAAGATTCTGGCTCTCCATTTGTGTCATATTATGCTCTAGATTCCCTAAAGAAACCTACAAATAGCTGATGTATAGTTTAAAATCAATGGGCAGAATCCAATGCAGCACCCATGCTCCTGCTGATATTCCAGCATCCTGAAAACAAGTGGTACCACTGAGTCCACTGATCCCACAGAAAGCCCTTAAACAATAGGAAATACTCATTTTTCAATTAGAACAAAAGTTCCCTTTTGCAAGCTCCACTGACCTGCCCTGATCCAGAAATGAGCATTTTCATTTGTTTCCACTTGATCCAGAAGTGGTAAATCTTTGTTCTGAAAACAGTGGGTATTGCTTACAGATGGAAATTAGCAGGCTAGAAGAGAATCAATGGTGGCATAAATGCCCCACTGAATTCCACCCATTTATTTTATAAAATGTATAATATCCAAAGATACACAGACTCGTAATTTGCCGTAAATTTTCCCAGATTATATACCATACACACACTCTTATACCATGCATAAATATGCATATAACTTGTACTCACATAAAAAGATTTATGTGAGTACAACGTAAGCATAGAGAAGCAAAACTTACTTTCACTATTGTATGATGGGGGAACTCAATATTTAAATACCGTCATATCAGCAACTGCTATACCATATTTAAAATACCGTAATTCATATTAGTCTCAATTCTTGTTCATCAAGAAACTGAGCTCATATAATATGTATTTTTGGTTCATTGATGTCAAACTGAAAACATGTACTGACAACTTTTGCATAGAAGGGCTAAGTGTTTATCTTTGGCGTAACTGCTCATAAATAAAAGTTGATATAAACCTGAGACAAGTTTTAAAAATATAGTCCAGCAAGTGAATAATTTGTAAGGAACTTACAATCTGTTGTATGTCTTTTGATTATCCAGGTTCTCCTTAAAAATGATCCACCTTAAGTCCCTTTAAAATGCTGGTTTTCTTTGTTATTGTATCATTTCCTACTTTAGAGCTTCATTCAACTGGCAGCAGTCCAGGACTAGCCACCAATCAGAAAACTCCAACACAACAATTGCTTTAGTACCTAAACTTGGATGTCAGCCAACATGGCACTTGGGTATGATTACATCACCAACCTCAGGGGACAGAGCTGGTTAGTTGTTCCAAGCTAAATTAATTTTGCACTTTCCCATAGGCTACAAAAGCCTCTACTAATCAGCCAGCACAACAGAATCCAAAGAGTAGCAAAGCAGCCCCTGAAGAAGCAGTTTGCTGAGCTTAAAAATGAAATAAATCGGAAACTCCAGCCATATTTTTAAAATCGGCTGCACTACACACTGATGGACCATTCCCCTCAAAAAAATAACCTTTCAAGCATCCCAGTCATTTACATTTAATGCCCATAAACATTTTTTTCAATACAGAATATGCAGGCAAATGTTCAGTTTATCAGAAACAGATACTATGAAATGCTCCATTAATGCTAACAGCTATATAAACAAGAACTAGCGAAACAGTGCCAGTAGCTGCAAGATAGGATTACTACAAAAGAGACTGAAATCATCCTATTACAAGGTATGTTTCAAAATTACAAGACACATATTTATGGAGGAACAGAACTGAATGCTGACACGGCTACTCGCAGCTATTCTGATTACACTGGTATCCCGCACTTCCAAGTATGACAGAGTTACAAGCTATTACCACCCTAAGCAGTCACTTGTTCATGAGCTTCATAGCCAAGCCGTAATCTGAACCTGGCTCCCAATATTCAAACCCAAAACTCTGGCTGCTGTTTCACTACGGATTTGCCAGCCCTGCTCAGGTCTGCCCAACCTGTTGCCCTCCAGATATTTTGAATTTGATCTCCAATCAGCCCCAGCCAGCAGGACCAATCATCAGCAATCCTGAGACTTGCAGTCCAAAGACATCTAAAGGGCACCAGTTTGGGGGAAACTATCCTAGACTCTTGAGTTCCTCTGTTTAAAACAAGATTGCCTATGTATTCTGCCTTTACTGTTCTTGCTACAGCTTTTATTGACACAGGCACTATACTTTACAAGTGACAAATAGGATTCTTTGATTTTTAACTTCTACTTAGATAAAATAAGAGGAAAGACTTGAAACATATGCTAAGGTAACATTTTAGAATGGTAATCCTTCAATATACACACATATGCAGACAAGCAATCTGCATACAAGAAGCATACATTTGCTTATAACTCAACAAAAGAGTGTAACATTCATTAATTGTTTTATTTTGTTGAAGACAGAAATACTTACTTCTTCTGTCCTCTTGATTTGCGCAGGACAGAGTTCTGCCTTGGATTACTCTCACAAATGACACCATTGCTGTCATCCGTTTCACTCTTAGTTAAAGGCTGGATGTTCCATGGAGCAATAAACCCTGGTGTTGGACTGAATTGTTTAAGTTCTCCTTGTCCTAAAGAGCTTCGTTCCCCACAGTAACAAAAGGCGCAGAGCTGTTCACTGCTAAAGATTTAAAAATGGAGGGAAAGTGAAAGTGCAAAGGCTGTTATAAAAAGACAGAACACACTTATGCTATGATCGACCAGAAGTCTTGCCATCCAATGTAACTGTATACACAACCAACACACTATTAAATATTTGAATTAAATACCACTTCCTCTTTCTTTTCACATGAATATTTCCTGAATTTAAGAAACGACATCAAGATTTCTCATACTTTTAAAATTCATCTATACATCCTGCTACCATCTTTGTTGGGAATGTGATAGCTGCCTGCTTTGGGTGCTCATTCTCAAGAACTGCTGGCTGAGTTGCAGAAGAATCAGAATGTGATGCAAAACAGGGAGAAGGCTGGGCATGTGGCCCATGCTGAAACACTGAGATGAGAGAAGCAGAGATGCATATCTCATGGCCAGACTCCCAGGTGAGCAGGCAGTTCCTGGGAATAACCAAGATGTACAGCTGATCTGTATCTGAGAAACTCCCTCAGTTTCTCAGATACAGACCAGGGAGTCCAAGAACTTGACACCATGATACCCGCAGAGGAGGGTAGACCAATTAGAGGATTGGTGCATGGAAAGGGGAAGTGCTCACTTTCAGAAGGTCCCTTCCAAAGGTTGATTCATTCTGGATGATTTGTGCTTTTAGTCAAAAAAGAACACTTTGCAAAGAAAATGCTCTGTGGCTTTTGAATGTGTGAAGGAGGAACCCTGGCTCATGATAATCTTGGTCACTCACTGCTAAGATATTCTGGTGTCTGTGACAAACAACCCGAATGATACTCTTGTTCACAATAAAAAGGCAGGTGAAATAATAACTATTAGCTACTTTACAATAGCACCCAAAAGTTCCTGTTTCACTCAGTCTCATTGTGGGACTGAGTTCACAACCATGCTAAGCAAATGAGTCTGTCAAGAACTCATGGCACAGCTGTTACATTTTCCAGGGGTTATTAAATATTATTTTAGAAGGAGACTCCTCCTTTCTTTTACCTCCACACAAAGAGATGTATACCCTTTCATGGGTGCAAACACACACACATGAGCATAGAAAGCTACTTGATACAGAAACAAACCACTGGTCCTCAATACTGTTGACTCCAGAGTTTAAGATAGTAATATTCCCAGCACTTCCTGGAGAATTTTGGGATTGGTTTTGAGACTTTCTGCATGCAAAACATGTGCTCTACCACTGAATTACAGCCTTAAATTTATGCACACACAATATTAATATACAGTTCAAATACAAATCAAATCTAAACCAAGAAAAAGGTTCATAATAGAAGTGAAAACTGCACTGAACACACAAAGATGACTAGAGACAAACATGAAGGATATGGCTGCAGCATGGTATAAAGTCCTTTCCAGCTAATGGTGATCCCAGGAAGGAATGCCTTCTAAAAGATCCTGTCCTTAGCAGCCCAGCTCAAGGCTGTGGTTCCCTTTGTGAAACTGATCCTGCCTTCAACTTTCCCTTCCATAATTGTCTTCTCCAGTGAGTCTTGCCTTCCTCCCATGAGGTACTTGAAGTACAACAGCCCCAGTTTTGTCATTTTTCCAACCAGGGAAAGTTCTGCCTTGATTTGATCAATTTGTTTGTCTGTCAGTACAGTGTATTTACCAGGTTTTGAATGCATCCATTTTCCTCCTGTCAGCTTTCTTCACAGCTTTCCCACACATATACAGTGATTGGGAATACAATAATGTGGATGATCTGGGTCCTGAAACATACAGGACCCAGCCAATGCAGCCAGGTCAGAACTAGTTTTATATGTTCAGACCTACAATTCCCAGTTATACTGCAAGAAGTGCAGTTTCTAAACCATCTTCAAGGGCAGTCCCATATAGAGTGCATTGCAGTATTCTAATTAAGAGATTACCAGAATGTAAATTATTCAAATCAAGATATCCAAGTCCAGACAGGAGTAGAGCTGAGCCTCGAGCTGAAGCTGCTAGAAGCCTCAGGAGCCACTGAGGCCACTGGAGTCTTGAGTGACAAAGATGGCTCTAGGATTCATAGCTGTTTGTTCTTCCCTAACAGCTGGTCAAGTGTTTTCTGACCTGGAAGTCTAATCTTCTGACACTCTCTCTCATTTCATTTTGGACTGATTCATCATAGAATTTACAAAGGAAATCATAGAATTTACCATTACCTTCATCTGCACAGTGCTAACAGGAGTTAAACAGCTGAGTATTGCTGCTATTGTCTGTGAAAGATCCTGCACCAGTGTTGCTATCAAAGGGGTTTCTCAATAATCAGTCAGCATAGGAATACAGCCTTAACCTTTCAAGCACATTTAACATCTTAAGAATACTTTACAGTCTATTGTGAACAGACAAAAACTAGATTTAATTTATCATATGATTTTTTTTTAAATAAAGCTTTTTCATATTTCAGATTTACTTGCTTGGTAATACTGCTCATTACCAAGAGCCTTCAAAACATATTACTTCAGCAGGCAAGAAAATGAGTAGGATGCAAAACATTCTCTTTAAACTGCAAGATCTTGTCTTCAGAATAATATTTTTAAATGGACCAATGAGCAATACTTAACTTATCAACTATTCATCTCTTTGTGTTTTACTGAGATAAGTACAATGAGGACATTATTATATTTAATTAGTCTTTAGAGCTCTGGGGATTGATAAGTGAATTTTTAAAAAGGAATTCTACTTTAACTGAAATTCAAAACTCCAGTGACCACATTACTTCTGGACAAACTTCAATTATCTGTGTAGCTAGTTTTGGCAGCTTGTAACACATTAGGAGGATTAAATGATGTCTTGCATACTTTCTTTAATATCTGCTCTTATATACAATATTCAAATATGATAAGAACAACAACACAGGTGACCTCAAGGAATACAGCTTGAACAAAAGATACTGCAGAACACAAAAAAGTTTCAAAGACAAACTTCTTCACATGTAGACAGTGTTGAAAAGTCAAAAGACTGCCTGTTTACACCGTTTGATTATTGCACATAAAATCATGTGCATTCACACATGCAGGCTCTGTACCCACATGCAGCCTGTTGTCGAAAGACTCTACAATTAAGCATACAATTGGACCAGATCCCATGGAGCACAGCCAGGCATGCCTATGGAAGGTCACAACACCTATCATGGCCTTGGCATCACAGTCCATCTGCTGGAGGGTGAGTTTAGAGGCTTCCATTTGGAATACCAGGGCTAGTTTGTATTAGTCTTCAGGGAGGTGCTCATACATGGTTCCAATCTTATCCTAAAACCTAAAAAAACAGCTGGTATCTAGACATGGTTGGTACCATGTCTACCTCATAGTTGGCAACCCTAACCCAAGCGCAGAAGCCATGTAGGCCTGCCATGCCATCCAGATGGTGGCCCTCCTGGTCTACCGGCACCAAGGACTCCCTCTGGGATTAGTCCTGGGCAGATTCCATGATGCCAGAGTTTGGCTTGGGGTGCTCGAAGAGGAAAGGGACGTTCTTCTTCAGTACACGGCCTCAGGTCTCTTAAATAGGGAGTGTACTGCTGAAGACTTTCACATCTGCTGGACCATCTGCAGCAGTCTGGGTAAGAAAAGGATTGCCACCAGTACTGAGTCCTTGGAGTACAGTGCGTTGAAGACTGGGTCTGTGACTTGATCCTGCTGCTCTCCTTCCCAAGAATGCAGCTGATGGGAGCCTGTTAGGTGTTGCCATGGTCCTGAGAGGTGGATGGTTTTGCCTTTTATGCCTCGTGGAATGAGAGTCCTGCAGGACCTTTTCCTAGAGATCAGCTTTCAGGCAATCCACCCTATGTTTGTGGGTCTGCTTTGTAAAGGCCTGCCAGTATGCACAGGCCTCAACATCGTGTCTGTCACCCAGACGGAGGATGCCGAAGGAGGGGCCATCTGCGGGGGGGGGGGGTCTGAAATTGCAGTGGACACTTTTTGAAATGGTGCCACCAAAGTCATCATGGTTGACAGTGAAGGCAAAGATGCATAGACAAGACAAGGAGTGTTTCAGTAGAGAATGTGACAAGGGGTACAGAGAAAAAGGGTAAAAATTTATATTTGTGTAGATTTTTTTCTCTTTAAAAAAAGTGAAAGGGGCAGTTTATGATGGAAGATAATGGTAGAAAGGAGAAAGACATGAGGAAAAAAGTGTCGAAGAACACTGAATTACTTGAGTATGAGTAGAGAGGCACTTTCCAATCTATGCGGGATGGTAGTCTCAATGGAACTGAAGGAAGAGGCAAAAGCCTCTTCCACGTAATCCTGGAACAGGAAGGGGAGGAGCTTCTGTCCAAATGAACGTTTAAGCCATGGGTCCTCAAACTACGGCCCGGGGCCGGATCCAGATCTGGCCTGCCATACCCATTTGGACCCGTCGTGCGCCCGCCCACCTCGCCCCACGCACGGTGAGGCAGCAGTTTGTTCACTCAGAGAAAACAAACTCCAAGCAAGCAAGCCGCTGCCTCATGCGCCTGCCTTGCGGCACATGCCCACCCCTGCCCGCGCCTCCCTCCCCTCCCCTCACGCCCCATGCATGCACGCGCCTCGCCTCGTATTGCCTCACCGCACCCCCACCCCTGCACCGGCCCATGCACACCGCTGGCACCACCTTTCCGGCCCATGCCCAGCACTGGCAACTTTCAACTGGCCCCCTGGCGGAAAAGTTTGAGGACCCCTGCTCTAACCCATGGGTCCTCAAACTACAGCCCGTGGGCTGGATCCGGCCCTCCATGCCCAGTGATCCAGCTCACCATAGCTCACCACACGTGCGCACGCACACGGCAAGGCACCAGCTTGCTTGCAAGATTGTTTTGGATTCGTTGGGAGAAAATGATCTCTGCACATACATGCCCCTGCCTCTCTGTGCACGCATGTCCCCCCCCCCCGGCCCACGCCCCCTCCCCACACCACCTTGGCAGCCCGCGCCCGTCCCTGTCACCTTTCAACTGGCCCCCTATTCAAAAAGTTTGAGGACCCCTGGTTTAAGCAGTAGAACCTTCCTGACAACATGCTCCAGGCAGGCACAGAGCACATACATGTGATGCACAGAGGCCAAAAAGAAAAATTCAAGTGTCTTCATGTCCTTTTATTATGTGACACTACAAGGAGTCCAAGGGATAATGTCAATTATACCCCAAAAACGATTTGCTGTTTCTCTACAAGAACAAATTCCAACTGATAAATATGGCAAACACACTTCTCAAAATCAGTATTTTTTATTCCAAAGATCAGGAAAGATTAAGTTGGACTAACATTACAGGTAGTAAGTAAAGTGTGGCTTGCCCACATCCAATGCCTGATTAAGATCCAAAAGAAATTACTGCATTTAAATATAATGTATACTCTTGGTATTTCATATATCATACATCACCAGAAAGCAATGCAATTATTCATAAATTGGTTTTTTTGTAAAAAAAAAATATCGGAGGCCCAAGAGAGATATTTTTTAAAATCAAAAATTAATTGAATTTCAAAATCACTGGTGATCTGCTAGAATTTTGTTAGGAAGTTTGACACAGCTGCACTTTTCACCCCTTTAGGCGCATACTTGCAACACATGTGTAATGAATGTGTTTGACAATGCATACTGACAAGTACCAATGTGGTGAGTTCTTTTGTTGTCATGTGCCATCAAGTTGCAAGCCTCTGCATGAACGCCCTCAAAATGTCCTGTCCGTGACAGCCCTGCTCAGCTCTTCGAAGTTCAAGGCAGTGGCTTCCTTTATAAATGATTTATAAATCAGTTACTTATTCTTATTTAATGCAACAGGCTTAGACCTGCAGCAAAGAAGAAATGAGGACAAGATCGTTCTAATAAGAAAATAAAATGAAACAAGAAGCTTAATATAGTAAATTCCATCTGCCATGGAATTAGTGCTTGGACAATTATATCCTTAAACGCAATTAATATAACAGAACATTGTAAGAAAACGCATATGTATTTGGGGCACAGGACCACAGCCCCAGTGCAGAGCACATGCTTCGCATGTATTTCATAGCCTCTCCAGTTAAAAGGATCAAGTGGCAAGTGACAGGGAAGATTTCTGTCTTAAATGTGCTAGCATTCCTCTGTCAACAGAGCAGATATTGCTTGTTGAGCGAACCCAGTCCCTTCAGTCCCCTACACGCTTCTCCAATCTGGATCATATTCAGAGACCTGCAAGTGGGGAGGGACAGTTCCACATGCGCAAGGGGATGCAAAACTGAATGTAGCCCTGTGATCCGTCAGAACCATGGCCTTTCACAGCAGGTAACACCGAGCTATATGGTGTAAGGTAGTTGCTATGTTACTAAAAATTAAGTACTTACATTTTGGTTCTACTAAATCTACACTCAAACAGCCAAAAGAAACCAAATCTTTTGAGTTATTGTCACATAATACAGATACATTTCTTTGTCACTTGTTAACAAAGCGTATGTTTTGAAAAGTATTTTCCTATTCCTACACCTCTGGCACACTCAGCCACCAGTTTCCGGTTACCACCTGTTAACTCAAGCTAATGCTTTATAGCAGAAACATAACAATGGAAAAGTCATACTCCCAGCATAACCTGCACCCAGCATACTCCCAGCATAACCTGTTTAGGTTCTAGCACTTTTCCACATCTGACTAAGCATCATTGTTTCTAACCTGGTTTTTGCTTCAACACCAACAGAGGCAATGAAGCTTGCAGATTCTTCAGACACTGAGCGCTGAAGAACTGGCGTTAGCTTCTTGTCACCATCCACTTCAGATTGGGTATCCTCCTCTGTAGATTGTTCTTTGATTTCTGTTTGAGAAGGAGTGTAAGTTGATTATAGATTCCACTTTTAAATGTTTACTGTTACTATTACAACCATGTTCATGGGTTTACCCAACTGTCAGCATTATTAGTGGTTTAGTTTAATGTATCTCTTTCAGCATAACATTAGCTTAAAATAAATGTCACTTTTTGACTAGCACAGACTACTAGTCAAATTACATTTGGGCTAGAGGACTTCTCTGACTGTTCCTCTCCAAAGCAGACCCACCAGACCCTCAAAAGCACTGCACAAAAGCTTGGCGTACCTTGCTGAAGGTCTGAGGCTATTAAAGGAGATAAAGGAGTAGGTGGGGCATCTGTCCAAATCTTATGGACCACCCACAGACTACCATATTCTGAAGGAGGTTCAACCCTCTGTTTACATTTTCAGGGTGCTGGAGAAATTGCAATGAGGAAAAACAAGCAGCAAAGTCCATTTTCAAGTCATTCATCTATGAACTATTTGACTCACTGACTTATAAACTATTCATAATCTTTTATTAGCCATAAGAGATAATGGAGTATAAAACAAAGATGACCAAATTAATGGTTTGAAGTAATTTTGCCTGACTGAAATTTAAGTGCTTAAAAAGGCAATATTTTAGCAAAATATGTATCAATTAAGGCTTTAAAGAGAACCAAATCCCTGACATTATCCAAAAAGATGTGAGTAGCCTGCTGCCTATTATACATTTGGATACACAAGGTAGATAGAGTAGTACACACTACAGGATGTTAAAACATACTGTACCTAAAAATACAGTACTATTTAAAATGTAACACATGAACATCATAAGGCAAAACCCAATATTTAAAAAAAAGAAAAGAAAATACCTACAGGTGAAACTTAGATGTTAAAAATGAAATGCATTTACCAAATATTGTATTGTTGGTTTTGTTTTATAGTTAGAACTGAGTGTCTACTATTAAAAAGGACAGACATTAATCTAAATGAATAATTTATCTTAGAATGGTACTCTCAAAAGATATTTACAAACTTAAAAAATCAACAAAACAAAAAAGAAGAACGAACATCACAGCAGACTGAACAGAATATCAATACAACCAGCATAAACGCTAACAAACTCAGCATAAGATCAACATAGAAAGTAGAATACAGCAGAAAATCACTATAAAACCAGCATGTTGGCAAGCTGTTTTGGCACAGAACAAACAACAAATACCATTGCTCCAGCATTTGGCAGAACACAATGCATTTACTTTAATCAACTCAGTCTAGAAGCTGAAGATGTCAAGGCCAGAGACTTTACAGGACCAAGTGAATTTACCAAGCCACAAGGGGAACAGCATTTAGTCATCTACCAGATCCATCACCTAATCAAACATCACTAGACGAACCATCCCATTATTAGAATGGGCATCAAAATGAGGGAAATAAATAACTTATGACTTGTCCCTAGGTGTGCCATGACCACTGAAAGAAAAGTCAGAATCACTGCAACTTAGGGGACTGCACTACCTTGATTGGATTTGGCCCAAGCAGCCCTAGCCCTTGATGACATAAGCCAAAAGTTATCTAAATCTTTTGTATGGTTGCCTGAGCAATACTGAGTCTGCACAGTCGTCTTTTCTCTTCCTTTGTTTTATTACCTTCATTGGATCCAGTGCCATTTGTCTGTTTGTTGTCTTTGTATTCTGGCCACCCAAGGCAAAAGACCGTTCTGCTGCAAAAAACATTTTGCTCTCTTATGCTCATCCAATCTCTCTAAACCAAGAGAGAGATCAGCTGTACAGACTCTCTGGAAAGCCGTATCAGCTGTTGACATGGCTCTCCAGAGCACTGGCCAGACCAAATGCCACACTTCAAAAGTCCATTCTACAAGTGAGGCACTCTACATAAGGTGGCTATGAAGATCATTTGTGTTACCACTAGCAATGTCCATGGCCGTGTCACTCAGAAAGCCTTGTTTTAAGGAAGGCCCTTCAAAGCATAGCGTATAAGGCAAGAGAGTAAAGAGGAGGAGGAGGAGGATTGGCAGCAGCGGCTGAACAAGGAGCGGAGGTTGAAGCAAGGGTGCCATGGCCGCTGAGGTGGCAAGAACAGAAGGGGTTACTGAAGCAACTGAATGTCACCCTGCCTAGGTCCCAAAATGCCTAGATCTGGGCCTTCATGGACACTGGGTGCCGTCTGAGCTTCCTTGGAGTTGTTTTCTGCTGAACAATCATTCCTAACCTAGATAACACTTTTCATGCAGATGTTAAATAGGAGAATAATAAAAGCACTTTGGACTTCTGTTATCTAATTGGATTTATATCCCAACTTTTTCTTCCTGCAGGCAGACCAAAATAGCTTATATAATCCTCCTCGTCATTTTATTCCCACAACAATCCTCTGAGGTAGATTACCCTGAGTCAGTGACTAGCCCAAAGCCAACCAGTGACTTTTAAAGCTGAGTAGGCAGTAGAATTCAGTACAACACTCTACCAATTACACTACATCTGCTGTAGGTTAGAGCAGCAACTCCCCAGCACCAGACCTGGTACCCAGCCACCCAGACAGGAATGCAGCCAGTGCAATGCTTCCAAAGTACTTCCATTTCTTAACTCACACAATACACCCAGAAGAATGCCATGATTGCAGGATCAGCTGCTGAAAGGTCCAAGAGAAACAACCAGGCCCCAATTCTGCAAAGATAATGCCACAGATATTTTGCATGACTCCCACAAGCCTCATACTGTATGCTCAAGGTTTAGGGATTACTGGAGTTGGAGTCCAAAACACTTGGCGGGCACTATCCTTGGATTAGAGCAGGGGTCCTCAAACTTTTCCACCAGGAGGCCAGTTGAAAGCTGCTGGACATGGGCCAGAAAGGTGGTGCCGGCAATGGCGGTGCGGGGATGCAGCGAGGGGAGGGGAGGTGGGGGTGGGAACATGCCGTGAGGCAGGTGCATGAGGCAGCGGCTTGCTCGCTTGGAGATTGTTTTCTCCGAGTGAGCAAACCACTGCCTCCCAGCGTGTGGGGTGAGGTGGGCGCGTGCATGGCGGTTCCAATGGACCGTAGTTTGAGGACCCATGGGTTACAGTAAGGAAATCATTTCTCTGTAAGGTTTTACAAGCCTATCCACTTTGTACATTTAGGAAGCAAGTTTAAATAGCCTTGTTTAAGCAGTCTTTCTCAGCCATATTTTGTGCTTCTGATTACTTTGGGGGAGTGTTTTGTTGGTCTGGGGTTTTGTCAAGCGTATTATAATTGAATTGTTGTTGTTGTAACATCTGACATTTCTGTAAGTTTTGGTAGCTGCTCTGAAGGCCCCTTTTAAGGTCAATAATAGAGAATATAATTGATCGTGGAATGATTACTTTCTTATACTTTAAACTAGGCATTTATGGACATAGGACAATGCGTACAACAGCAATGTTAAAAATACACAAAGCAAGGAGGAAGCTTCAAGGGTATGACTTGCCAACAACAGGCTCCAGGCAGATGTAGTGCCCTTGTATGTGATGCACAGAGACCACGGAGAAAAACCAGAATTATCATACTTAAGAGTAGAGTTAGAATGACTAGGTTAGGCTTGGCTGATCTGAATGGGTCTACTTGAAGTATAATTACATCTGGATTCAATCCAGTATGTTTTAAAGGTTAGAGGGCTGTCACATATAAAAACCTCATGATATTTGAGAAATTCCAACCCTAGTTAGTTTAATTTTTCCATCCTCAAAGAGAAAAGCTTGAAAATAAAAGTCACCTTAACTTCAAAAACTCCCAAATTGTAACACCCTCCCCAATTCCCTGCTGACTGAAGCACTGAGTACCTATTAGTTGGAGGAGAGATTCATAAATATATTAAATAAATAAATATTAAATGAAATGTAAATAGAATTTGTGAACTAGGATTTCAAAGCAGGGGTAGAAGCATTTTTGTTGTACTTTAATGATGAAAGAAATGAGAATATGCAGGCAGACTGCTTTCTTGAGTAACTTGCCATCTTTCAAATATTTCAACAATCAAGGAAGAAGTGGCTGTCAGGCTGGGAATTTTCCTTTCATGGAGAATAGACCTCTTGAATTTCACTCCCCACAGTACACAACTGGACAGAAGAAATGGGGAGTAAAATCTAATGAATATAAAAAGCCACTCCACTAACTTACATTACCGAGGGAATAGTAATTAACCAAAAAAGAAGAAAAAGAAAAGGCCTCTACCAAGAGCCTGAAAGCCAGAACTTCCTGCTATTTTGCAGTACTCAGAAAAAATACAGCATGAAGATTGCTTGGGGTTTCACAAACACTAAACATGCTCTTAGTGTGTCTTGGCTTATGCTCAAATTCTAGAATCTTCCCACACTCTTCCCTGTGCATGCACAATGCACCAAAATACAAAGGATGCCTAACTACCTGGGATCCTGAACGTTGAAGAAGAGACTGAAAATTTGCACAGTTTTTAATGAAGTGTAACTTCTTTCTTTTGATGTTCCATATGTTTCCCTTTAGTTTTAAGAATGTTTAAAATACCCCATTAAAATGGCACTTTGAAAGCACATTTCTGTACCCATTTACACTAGAACTGTCATGATCTGAAGAGAAAGCACTGCTATATATATATATATATGCCTTTACCGGTTTCCACAGTGTTTTCTGTTTCTGCTGCCTCCAACCCATCCATGCTGTCTTCATCCTCCACTGCAGGTTTTCCTCTACTTCGAGGCCTATGAGATATAAAGAAGGGACTGTTCATAAAATGTAAAAGATGCTATTATAAAACTACCAAGGGATTCACTCTATTAATCAAATGTCACATAACACTAAATTAGACAGAACCTAGAAGTGTTACAAATAGTGATGGATGGAACAGACAACAATATAGATGGAGACGTACCACTTTAATCTAGCTGTTCCTATCCGTCCACTTCCTTTGGTAATAACTATTTCTGATCTCAAACTCATACGCCGAGATCCAACAAACAAATGTAAAAACACAAAAACCTTTTGGCTAATATTGTGGTAGACTTTTTCTTTTTTAAACAGCAATCCACTAGCAACCATCGTATGAGGAACTGATTCTGAAAGCCACTTCTGTTTCCAAAGCAGCTTGCCATGTGTATGTTTCAGGAATACAAACACAAAACCTCCTTGCAGGTGGGTAACTAGCTGCACAGTTCTTTGTACCCTCATCTTAAATCTGAAAAGTAGATCTATAACATTACATCAATGAATAAATGACAAAAAACTGTTAGCTGGCTAAGCAGATTAATCTACGCAGATAAATATAGCAGCATAGCAATCTAGCAACAGATTTATGAAGTTATTGTAAGTATTTATGCAATAATGGGGGAATTGTCCCCACTCCTGCAATAGGTTTTAGCAACGCATGAACAATCTTTGTCATGAGAGAGAACTATGAGAACTGGGGGGGGGGGGGATTTGACAATTTAAGGGACTTATTTCTTATTGTTAGGGTGATTTCTTTCTCTCTGAAGTGCCATTTTGTCGTTCCTCTCTTAGCTCCAAAACATGTTTTACATTGCTCGTTTCAGTTTACCAGTGGATATCTCTATGCTGACACTTTCTTGATACATACTTTTTAAAAATCTTGCATTTTAGCATAATTCCATGACAAAAATATTGGTGGCATGGAGGGATGGCTCGGACTGCCATCTTGTCTGGGTACCCCCCCCCCACCACCATTATATTGGTTTTCGCCTTAAAAAAACTTTTGGATTGTATTTTAATTCTTGGATTATTATTTTACATGGACTAAGACAAGAAAAAGTAATGAATGCTGAGTGCAGAATTATTTCATGGTTATTTCACCTGAAAAAGTTACTGAAAGGCATCTGTAAAATGATGGAAAATATGTACATGAACTTACTTTGTTCTTATTATTGTGGAAAATGCAAACAGTGTGATCTAACAGAATAAATTCTCCAAAAAAAAAAAAAAGGAATACAGAACCCAGGTTATGCATTGCTTATATACAAAACATCTCCAATACAATAACTATGCAAGAGAAAGAAAGGAAGCACAACCAAGGATTTAAATGGGACTTTAAAGCATGGTATACAATCACTCTAAAATTACCATGTATACTACCTCCTATATAAAGCTATCAGGTGATTAGATTAAAATATGTTTTCTGTTTATTTCGCAAGTTATATAAAGCTTTCCATTTACACTGTACAGTGAAACAAACACACACCTTTTAAATGTACCACACTGCTGATTTCTCAACTGTGTCCCTCTCCCCAAAACACATTTTAAGCAATGCATTTAACATTAGCAAAATCACAGGTTTGAGCTAATTGAATATAATTACTCTTTTTCAATAGAGAACATACCCACATCTGGTGTTTTCATGCAATTTTCCTCTTTTGCATTTACTACAAAAGACCTTCCAACTACTGCACAGGTTTAAAATAGCATCATTAGGAAAAAATTACAAAACAGAAATCAGAAAAATATATTTATACGTTGATTTAATTTGTTTTTGTATATGAAGCAATCCGAAGAAACAGTATAGAGTTCTATAATCTAAAGCAATACTGTAGTATAACTGACTCCTAATATTTAAAGGTTCTTTGAAAGGTGATTAACAGTACATGGCCAATGTGGACAAATATTTATGTATTACGAGTAGTAACTGGTTAGTCTTCAGCTCTGACTGAGTGGTTTACAAATAAAAGCATAAAATAAAATGAGCAAACAAACCACAGCAGGAAAAAGGAAACCAGCTAAAACTCTAAAAGGCCCCACCAAATAAAAATGTTTTCACCTGATACTGAAGCAAGAGAAAAAATAGTGGTAAGTGTGGCTCTCTGAGAAGAGACTTCTAGACAGAAAAAGGCCCTATCTTGACACTGCATGCATCCTACAGTGCAGGATATGGAACAGGGTCATAGTAACATAGATACAGAACAAACATATGGTACAAGTTTGAGGAGGGCTGGTCTAGCTAATTAAGCCCTCTGCCTTGGGTTTCACTTAGCCAGAAAGAGATACAGACTGTCCCCAAGTTAAGAACATCTGAATTACAAACAACCCATACTTACACAATTGAACTGCCATAAAGCCTATTAATTAAAAAAAATACTGTGGAAAATTGTCATCACCATAGAGAGAAAGAGGAAGTGAAAGGGGACAGAGGGAAGCCTCTGAAGCATGCCTTCCTGCTCTGCCCAACCAGAGAGGGAAATCTTTGACATTTCCTTGCTGTAAAGAGAAGGCACTGATGTGTTTGGGCTGAGGGTGGGAGCTTAGAGATATCTGCATATTTTCCACTTTCATAGGAGTCCTGCAACCTTAACCCCTACAGATGTGGAGGACTAACTATACATGATCCAACTTACATACAAATTCAACCAAAAGATGAATTCCTATTTTCTCAGAAATGGAACTCATTCGTAATCTGAGGACTGCCTGTATATTGGTGACTGGCCAGTTGCTGGCAGAGTCCTCTGCATCCAGCAAGGCTTCCTTCCTAAGCGATTATACTACTGCCTCAAAGAACAGCTTGGACCACCCACCCCTCTTTCATGGTGGCATTTATTACCACCAGCACCCAACCAATCTGCCCATTCCTTGCTACTCTTCACTAGCCAAAATGAGCAGGGGTTAGTCAATCATCTTGTCAACATCTTACCTCAATAATTTAAACCTTTTCTAAGGTCTTTGGGCGCTACCTACTGGGAAGGGGTGCTTAAGAGCAATTGCCAACATACAAGCCAACTGTGTAGGCCAGGCTAGGGCTCCTGTTAGAGGAAATCCATTTCAATAGGAAATCCAAGATCTTTTAGCAATCCATTAGAAATCCACCAGGGTCCCTCACCCTCAGGATTATTATTACCATAAAGTGATCCAACTGTAACAAAGAAATCCCACTTTAAAACCACCAGCTTCCTGACCAAACTAGAATAGCAAACCAGGCTAACAGCATGATGAGACAGCCCTCATGGCTATTAAGGCAGCAAGAAAATCCTGAGGCACCCCTGATATGGTGGTCTTGGCACTGCTGTTGAAGTTCCCCAAGACCTACATCTTACGGACTATTGGCACCAATTATGTGATGACTGGACAGTAAGGTGAACAGTACACCAAAAGAATTTCCAATCAGTGACAACTGCTGAGCACCAAATTCAAAAATTTAAATTTAGTTCCTGCTTGGGAAGTATAGAAAATAAGATCTTTGATTACTGCAATCAGCATCCTCCCCAATATTTGAGCTGATGGTATGCTAAGAGACCAGATGAATACAGCTGGAACCAAGTGACAACTCCCACATTTCAGTAATGCAGACCAAGTCAGCCTATTAATTCAGGATTGGATCCTGCATGACAGTGTTTTATTACAAAGCATTCATGAAAAGCACCACAAGATGGTTTTTCTACCATTGCAAAAAGGGTAATAATGAGAAAGGACCAAAAAAAGGAATTACTATATTTCTGACCCCCGCATTCACTTCAGTGTCTTAACTATCCCCACTGAAATATCTTACCCTGTCGGTAAACATCTCAGCAGGGATGGTGTCATCTCACAAGATTTCTTTACAATGTTAAGTTTCCTGGAGAAATATTATGCAAAACCCTAAGTGGTTGAATTTTTCTACTTTAAAGGATTTCAATATAGTTATTCATTAAATGAAGACAATGGGCCCAATTCATCAAAGATTATTCTCATGAGGAGCATGGCCTAAAGAAGCAGTACAGCAAATAATAAGATCTTACTTAAATTGCAAGAAAGAAGGGTAATGCACCAAGGGAATAGCTCAGGGAGAGGGGGGGATTTTGCTTTTCAATTGAAAACTGCCCAAGTCCTTCAAAAGGCTCAAGAAGAAAATATCAATTAAAACAGAGTACAAAACCCTTCCTTCCAAAGGAACAAAACTGTTGGAAGGCTTGCATGAATCAGAAGATTTTGCAACACAGCTAAGACAGCTCCAATGTAATGTGACAGCAGGCTGATCCATTGCTATATCCCCTTTATAGAATAAACTGGATCAAATCACTATCTGCATATTCAAATCCAAGGTATTGCAAAACAGTAAGGGGGAGATATGATAAACTTCTTTGTTTGATATATTTAAGAATTAAGGATTTCAGAGTTCTCCTAGAGCTGCCAATCCAAAGGTGTGGTGCAGCAATTCCCTCTCCCCTCCCCTCCCCTCCCCTCCCCTTTCCTTGGAAAAGGTGAAGGGCAGTGTTTTTTTTTTTTTTTTTTTTCACAGAACGCACCGGAACAGAGTTTTGGCACCTTTTTTCAACAGATTTTCCAAGTTTTAAAAGTAACTTTTGAAAATTTGATGTTTGGTCCACGTGGATTTGAATTGCCCTGTCAAACATACCAGGTTGGCGGCAAAATCATTAAAACGGTGCATGTGGGCTGCTTGTGTGTCGAATCCGATGCATGCATACTTGGTCCATGCTGGTTGTGATGGTGCTGCTTGGCTTGTGGCGCTGCTTGGCTTGTGATTGGTCGTGCACTGAGTGCTTACTGCGGGCGGCGACCGTTATGTTTCGTTACACAACTGACGTGTGTGGGTGTGCGTACAGTGATTGACTACGTGCGAAAGGTAAATAATTTCATGAGTTCCGGCACCATTTTTCTTACAAAAAAGCACTGGTGAGGGGAATAGTTGTGGGAAAACATGAGAGATTTACAAATACAAGACAGTGTAATTTGGACACACCATAAAAGTCTGTGAAAGAGGTAGGAT